TTAAAATAAAATTTGCTCTTTTAGATTTATTATTTAAATAATAAATCTGAAAGAGCAAATTTTAAAATTTTTATGGTTTGGTGCATTGGATATCTTATGCTGTCTCAATCTGTGTTAAACCAATAATTACTAAATATTTTTGTATGTTATTAGGAGTTCCCAAAATGGATCAATGAAATGTTCCGAGGTGAAATGCATGCTTTATTTATAAGATGCCGAAACCTTGACAACCCAAAGACGAATGGCATAATAAAAAGATTTTTGAAACTTTTGGTCTCTGAAATGAGTGTTCAAATGTCTGATGAGATGGCAGTGAAGTTTCGCAGTATCTTTACTGAATGGCGACATGTTTTGTGGACTTATATCAACACCTTGTTTGAAGATTTACAAAAAAGAGTAGGAAGGTAAAAATTTTAAATAGTTTTGTATATCCAATATTAATTTAAATTAGATAGACAAACCTGATAATTATATTTTATAATTAATTTTTTAATCTAATGCTAAAATGTTTTTTATATGTAGTGATGATCTTAATTCAATATTTGCTGCAATAACTGCGAGAGATATTCAGAAAGTATGGCAACGTTTTCTCGTAAATATTAATATTTCAGCAATTCATGCTGAAATTAATAATTTTGAAAAATTGTTATGTGACATAGTACGTATCGGGTTATGGGTGATATTTTCTTTTGATGCAAAAGAAGCACAAGCAATATTCTTTAACATGAATAATGATTTATATACAGTAAATTTAAATATTTTAACTATTCATGGTTGGAATGTTGCGACATCAATAGACTTGAGTTGTTACATTTTTACTGCACAAATAGGTGCTGATTTATTTCAATAAACAGCTGTAATTTTTTTTATAATTTTATATTGTAATTTTTTTCAAATTATTTGAATAAAATAATATTCTTTTCTGTTTTTTATTAATAATGTCTTGCAATTTGAACATAAGTTTTTTTTATCGTTAAGTGACTTAACGATCTATTCACATGTTAATTGTTAAGTTAGCTGT